TTTATTACTCTATCGTTTCGCGCGAACTCCCGCGAAGCGCGCGCGACACGATGCGACGGGACGAAAGGTGTGAGACCCCAGCGAGACGTTCTTCTTGTGTAATTTTTCATGGCGCGATCGATGATAACGCGATCCGCGGTTCCGGCAGACGGTGTCACAGGAATTTTTTCTCCGTGAGGAAATTCCATCGCGGCGCATTTCATGCGCGAACTTCGGAATTCCGCAATAAAGAAGCGAGAGACGAAATTTGAGACATCGTTGAATGTAATTATTACGTGGAACGATATCAAACATTTCTATTTACAGAAAACTGGTGTCTCGTGTATATGTGTACTCAACTAATGCGACAGTAACACTGTGTTATTCTCTGCAAAAATACTCTGTTATCATTGTAAGAGTCTCAGATGTGCGCCGTCGTCGCGTTCTCGATCTGTCAATTTTCTCGAGGTAAAAATACCTTTCTTCGCGCTGTATCTTATCGCGACGTCGAACGGCTCGATATATCGGTTGCGAGACACGAAAGGTGCATTTAAGTACGAACGCACATGCGTACTTTCTTTCAATTTTTCATCAGAACGCCGAACTTAGAAGCAATACCGGCTCGCCTAAGGTTCAAAGCCTTGTCGTCGCCGGTAAAGCCCTTTCTCGCACAAGAATTCGAATCCTTCGTCAGAGACGAGCCCTCTTACCTTTGAGTAACCGCATACCGTCCGCAGGCAGTTGCACAACGAAAAGAAGTTGCAAGGTACACGGCTATAAGCCATTTGAAACTACAAATGAATTTTAGTCACGAAAATATTGTATAAAATTAATGGTGAAATATCTATTTAAGTATTAATTTCGAATTTTATTTCAATCAATTTTATTTTCGCTTTTGTAAAAATAATAAATCAGTCTTAAATATCATTATGCTTGTCTAATTAAATTTTTATGATATGTAATAACGCTGTAATAACGCTTGAAGCGAAAATTTATCAGAGGGACATTATTCACTCAATTTGTTGTTTTAACACGTTTGTTTTTTTAAATACATTTTGCTTAAAGTTAACGATATGCACAAAAATACCAATATTTGAGATCTCATCAATTCAAGCACATATTGAAACTAATATTTTTATTTGATAAATAAGTATTACTCGAGAAGCTTTTAATCAATTGCATTTATACTGAAGCACGTACTCTGCAATCCATCTTTCTGTCCGTAAAAATTCGAAACCGCATATATTCGTCGCATCTATAATGCCCCAGTCTCAACTTTTCACTCAATTTCTCATCTTTCTCTCTCTTTCTCCCGACTGAATTATTTTCGCGCGTTCGCCTTTCTGAAGCTAACGCGAGTCGACGTAGCCCCCGTTCCTATTCTCTCACCCTTCGCATATCTTGACGTCCGCAAAGGCGACGTGGCGCGGCGGCCCAGGTGAGAACATCCAGCCAGGGAAAAAGAAACAGGCGGAGGATAAGGGAGAACGGAGGATGAGGGGGGTGTCCGGTGCCGGGTAGGCGACATAACACGCGTGACTCGCCGGGAATCACGCAGCACGCGCAGGTACGCGGCTCGCGGCTAAATGAAATTTTAATAAAGCCGCGCCGGGGGAAGAGCCGCGCAGGGTGGGGAGGGAGCGAGATCCTCACAATGGAACAATGGCTATACGAAATCGTCCGAAGGCGTCGGCGCGCTTCTTCCGAAGCCCCGGAGCAGCCGCGCCGCGATAATTATATCGAGGCGGCGGCACGGAATCTCGCCAGAAAAACTTGTCTTCGGCCCTTAAGGGGACCGAGGGAGTCCCCGAGTAACGCCGCTCGCAGTCGCCTAACTAAAGGCGAATTTACACGGTTCGCTCCCGATGATTACCCCGGATGAATCATCCAAAATAAATTGGATGAACGCGTTTTTGTTCGGATGTATCGCGCTAAAAGTGGGCTACCCGATTCGCGGCCGATCCGACGCGGGCGTTCGCGTTTGCTTCTTCGAAAAAGAAAAAGAAACTTCAACGTGAGAGAAGAAGGAGACGACGTCGTCGGGGGACACTCCTCCCCGTACACAATCCCGTACAATAACTCAATTATATATCATCCTTAAAGAGTAAACATGGTACGCGTATATATATATATATATACACACATAGCGCGTCAAGTTTGTGCCTCTCTCAAACTGCAAACTCTCGGTTCACGACTGGTAGGCTGTCGGTTTCCTAAACTCTCGGCTCTGAGTTCGCAACTTCCAACTTTCGACTTTCATCTCGCGTTTCATAACCCACAATTTCTCACTTCGAACACGCGCCACTCGCGATTTGTGTTATTATTGCACGTGATCAGTCCAAATGGCAATAAAGAGGATTAAAGTCTTACGCTGAGATTGTATCATACTAATGGTGGCTTCTACGAATCGAATCAAACGAAAGATGGAATGAAATTCCACGGCTTAATATATTTTGCATTGTTCATCCTGGATATGATTCGAACTGGCTAAAAATGATCAATGCTTTTATCATTCAGCAATTTTTTGTTTAAGGAACAGTTACGCGGTTCATTCTGCTTGCACTTTTCGAATGATTTCGACCGGTGTCGTCGAGAATCCACGTGCAAATTCGCCTTAACTTTTACCTCCATTCGCGCCCTTTGTCTCCCCTGCGACAGGAGCGCGGCAGTCGTCTCGGTTCGACGATCGTCGTCGCGAACGAGAAACTCGATCGGCGAGGGAAAAGGGCGAAGCAGGCGCGACGCCGCTGCTTTTTGTCGACAACGGCCGTTTCTTTGTAAGACGATAGAATGGCATTCTAATATCGGCATCCTGCAAGAAATTGGTGCGCGCGCGCAATAAAAAGACCCGCTGGTATTCGGAACAAAAGCGACCGAGCGTGTTAGATAATTAGCAAAAATTTAAAGTCACCGCTATGATTATTCAGCATTTTCTCGTTATTCAGCGGTTATTTTCTTTAATATCCAGAGTATCGGAGTGAAACGCCCAAGGCAAGGTATAAGCCGAATCTAAATGGAAAAAATTAAAACGAAGATTGCGAATTCACGAGTTAAGAGGAGCGTAAACGTTTCAGCGTAAAATATGAAACGGAGTCTATACAACGGCCAGGTATACAAGTAGCTTTATGTAGAACAATTAAAAACCTAATAAAAATGTATAATTGAATTCTCTTTCACGGGAATTCGTTATTTCATCGATCGTTATCACAATCCCCGTGTGCTTTTTAAGCAAGGTAAAAATATTAATTTTACTAGACCCGTAGTTGATATTACGTGACTTATCCGTTCAATCTCATTATCCGGATTTATGGTACAATGGGAGCGTATAAGTTCTTCATCGCATCTCGTTGCCTGCGCTTTTTAAAGGTCTTTCTAGGATCTCTAGTCGAGCATGTTCTGGAACATAGTACGCAGCCTCGTAAAATAGCAGCGTATAATAAGCTGGTGAATATTTTCATAGTACACGTTGTGTCGATGGCGCTGCCTTCCGGCTAGCGCTTTTTCTTAACGGCGTTTCGTTGTGTTGAGCTCTCGGCACGATAATATGTCTGCATAAACTTTTACACGTAAAAGGCATCATGTTATACGTGCGAATTTTATCCGGCCAGAAAGATTTTCAATCGATATGTCGAGATAAAGAATTACAAAGAATCAAAGATCAAGGATTAAATGAATTATCAAATAAAAAAAGTCTGTGTGCGAGATAAATTCATTCTCTGAATAAATTAGAAAAAATACCAGAGCAGTGAACATTTGAGGCTGCTGTTGCAGTCATTCAGCTCATGCAGGAAAGAAGAGAAGAATCATTAATATTACAATTCTGGTGGTAACATCAATGAATAAATTATCAAGAAGAGCTTAGTGACTTAAATGCCAAGTTTGTGCTGCCAGGTCTTATAGGAGCTATGGTGTTAGTCGTATAGCCGGTGAAAAGCAGAGTAAATTAGCGAGGAAGGGAAAAACGCGTGTTGCCGCGTGTCGCCGGCGGGCCGGGTAATAAATTCGTATTTCACGCGAGATCGCAAGGAACGTTGTCAGTTCTTGACTGTCGGCTAGCGGCTAACTGTAAACGCGAAGTGGTCACGCATGGGAAAGCGTTCGCCGGTCCCACGAACGTATGTACGTCGTTACGTGGATCGATTATTATTACAAGAGGTGTATCCAATTTCGCGTCATTCGCGCGCGCGAAACCGAACGAGATGCCGGCCGTGAAGGCGCGCGCGCGCATGTGGAGGATATTATCGGGCAAATTATGGTGCAGGGGTCTATTCATTTACGTACGTAAGTCGATGACCAATCAGTCGTTAACTGCTAACGGTAACGAGCATCGCGGATAAATTTGAAACGAGTAAGGACAGGTTAACTACGGCGGCGGCGGCGGCGGTGATGACGGCGTCTCCGCGCATTGGTCGATGCACGTTGGTCGACGAGCGCCTAGAGCTCGTTAGAGAAAAAGCCGGCATGAGGCTGCAATGCCTTCCTCATTCGCGCACGTCTAGAATTGAAAGATGACCCCCGCTGCAAGTGTCGATGGGCCGCGTTCACGTCATGATTCGTTAAGTAACGGTTTAATGTTTCCCCGCGTATATGGCGACGACGGCACGTCATCCGATATTAGAATATTCGATGAATATTCGCCGAATGAATATGAAGCAATATTAATCCGTTCGTTATGAAGTTCCAATATTGAAACATCCGATATTGTCGATATTACTTTCTCGTAGTAAAAACTCGAGAATTATTTGGCGGCGTGTTTTTATATCTTCTCATTTTGCCTCGCGGAAGCGCTAAAAAATTTATACGCAACGATAAAAAGTCTGAGAGGACGGTATTTTTTTCGATCTTGAATTTTCCTCGTGTAACCTTTCACTCAGCGACGCTCGATATCTTTTCGGGATATGGAAAAGAGAGTGCCGTGAATGTGCAAAAGCGAGGGTGTGCGGAGCGTTCTCGACGTTGCATTGTACTTTATGGTACCGTCGGCGCGGATTTTTAACGTTAAATCGTCGTCTTGTTTCCAGGACCGGCACGTGAAGGACGCCAGCAGAGATCCGCAGATGGATTCGAGCCAGGACTACCGGCTGTTACTGGGTTACGAGAACAAGACGCACACGGTGCTGCGCTTCAGTAGACGATACGACACATGCGACCCGCGGGACCTGAAGATCACGGTAGGTAATGCGATTTATGCAGCGCGAAAGGAGGAAGCGCGCAGGACAATTTCCTGCGAAGCACACACAAAGGCACGCGAGATTTACTTGGCGCGCTTATCTTACACTATTTTTTTTTTGTCAAGATAAATGTCATTTGTATCCCGCGGAAGAGGATTAATATGAGATTTATTTATAGACCGGGATAGCTTAAAGAAATTTATCCGTACAAATAGAGATTTTGCATCAGTTATTTTATTAACGTAGATAAATTTAGCTTATCGGAATACGAACGTTTATGTCTGTCGCTCCAGCTGGTAGAGGTAAATAGAATTTTGTTCACACAGATTCAGAAAAGTAAATCTCCATTCCCGGTCTTATTTATATTTTTGTACGTTGAAACAGAAATTTTTTCATCATCCTAATTAATACAAACGTAATTTCCTCCTCATAAATAGTTACATTTGAAATTAGTTGGAAAAAAATTATATTCGCCAGTTTCAAAGTGCGCATGTTAAAAATGTTAAATACAAAAAAAGTATAGTTAATTACCGCACTTAATTATTACGTTCACGGTCGTAAAAATGTTTGCGCTCTCCGGAGCTGGACTTGGATTTAAATTCGGCGGCTCGTTATCGCAATTTTCCTGCGCGATATTCCGTACTCATCGTAGGACAGCCCCGACCTACTTCTTTATTTCGCCGGTAATTAACTCGGAAATAGATTGCGCGATAGAACCGTCCTCGCAGCCCGAAGGTGCTCGGGCACGGGGGTTTTAACCCGTGAAGAAAAAGAGATTACGCCAGTGTAGCGATCTGCTTTAAGTCGCGCAACGTGAAATTTGAGACGAGACCGACGAGGTCGCGAAGATCAAAATTCTAAAAACTGCCCCCTCGCCTCCTCCCCATTCCCCATTATAGCGGCTGGAGTTGCATTCACTAATAGCGCCATCGATACGCAATTACGTTACTCGACAAACCGGCAAAAAATAAAGCTATACGCTCGCTTTTAAAAGGTTGATCGGAAGAACTAGTCGGCGCGAAACTAAACTTGCGACTGGTTTTTTTTTTCGCTTTCTTAAACTTGCCGAGCGCGTCTAAGGAAGATACGTTTCCAAGGAGAATAAGAAGAAGCAATAAAATAGTACTTGCGATCTATTCGCTCGACGTGGTTAAAGATAGAGAAGTGCGCAGTTTCTTGCAAAAAATAAACCGTACACCTTTAATTCTTGAGCTTGTAATCGCGTGTCTAGCTGTTAGCAAGTCTTTCCGAGACGGAAATTTTATTGCGTTTACGCAATTCTGTCGCTTTAGAGTGTTACTGCTTTTGAGTCTCGCATGAATTTGTTCTAGTATGAAATCTCTTTGCACACCTGATGCTTGCAGGAAAGTACAATAAAAATATTGGTTCTGATGTAACAGGTATATCGTTTGTTTTCAATATAAGGATAGTACGCAAATAGTAACTTTTAGCATTGCAGAAAAATAACTTGGCACTGTGGCATTACAGAAAATATTGATACTTTTCATATATCTCTTATATTACAGAAAATGACACAAAATTACTGACACTTTTCATATATCTCTTAATTATCCGAATAAAGGATGGCACAAATTTATGCCAAAAATTCGATCGTCTTTCAGTCTATGTAGAGTCGCAAAGATAAATACAGATAAATGTAAAAAAAAAGAGTACGTAGGGTTTACTAACGTTCTTTTGGGCATATCCAGTGCCTATAGAATTAGGAGGTAAATATTCTTTTTGTTTGATCAGCGTTTTCCCTCGACTGCTTATTAGCCCCTATTATCGTCACTTCGTTATCACTCCTACGAAATCTCGCGACGTGTTATCGACCAACAGCGCTTAACACACAATTGTCGGGGCTCGATTTTCCACCTGATCGTATTATTATCGCGCATCAATTTCGGGCGAGCTCGCTGCGATGCGATCTCATCGTCTGCCCGCGCGTGCATAATTCGCTGCAGCCGCATCGCTATCGAGGTTGCCGCTCGATGCCACGTGGATAAACGCCCGTACGTGTTCGTAAATATTCGCTCGCGGTAAATCGAATTCCCCCGCGTTACGTAACGTCGAATTAAACGATATTTTCGGTTAACGGATTTTCAGTTAATGCCGAAGCATCGCCTCTTTCAATATACCAATTACGAGATCATTTTTCTTAGTTTACGCGTATCATTTATTTCCATATTATGTAACAGAGAATAATAGAGTATAATATTAACCTAAATTGTTTTAAACTTACAAGATTAAGATATCTAGGTTATTGGCATTTTATTATTTTTACTTTAAACGGATTTAACATAAAATCCAGCACTGTGTTAAAATACAATAATAAAAATATGTTAATTGGAAAAAAACAAACTCATTATTTATTATAGATGATAAAGTAATTATTTAAGTAATAACTGAGATATAATAAACTTTATTTTTGTTATAATAATTTGTGATAATTTATATTATTATAAATTCCTCTATTATTAGAAATTATTTGAAAGTAAATAGAAGAGATAAAAATTGCTCTTTGATAATATAATTTTATAAGGAGCAATTTGAGATAATTGTAATCTTGAAGCAAACGGGGTCATTGGCCGATCGCGTTGTCCAAATCGCCAATCTGTGCCGATCTACTTCCTCGGGAACGCCCGAGGAATTCCTCGTGGTCGCGATCTTAAGTATCGTTTCTCTCTCCGACAACAGAGAACGAATGAGGATGACGACGACGACGACGACGACGACGACGACGACGACGACGACGACGACGACGACAACGACGATCTCATCCCCCGACAAGAATGTCCGTCTGGCGGTTGAGTCATCAAAATACTTGGCTGTGAAAATAAAAGCGGACCGCGATTCCATCGCGACGAGAAACGACCGAGTCAGCGGGACCCCTCACGGGCTCCTTATCTGATTGTGCGACGTATCGATACCCGATATAATATTTTTGCGAGGCGTCGCGTCTATCCTCGTCGGGAGAGATACCAATCGTGGGTGCAGCGGGCGAAATTGGCTGCGAGAGGATATAACAAGATGCAGTCCGCAACCCTATTGAGATTCCTAAAAGGACGAAGCGAGAGAGGCGGCAGATTCAGATTCGATGTGAAACGTGAGAGACGATACGCGAGCCATTTACAGACTTCGCGCGTATATCGATTTTGAAAAAGATGGTGGTAGATATATACAGCTTCGAATATCTTGTTAAAACCAACGTACACAGTCCGCTTTATAGTCGTTCATCAAACAGCGAATAATGTTTTAAAACTAGACTTATGGCACTGTCAATATAATGTTCGTTAGATTGGATTGCGCTGTACGCGGGACGGGAATTACCCGTGGAAAATATCGCGCATATCCCCCGTGTATGTTTGAACCCTTCGATTGGAATACCATATTTTTCCGCGCCGATATTTCCCCGCGATCTTCATCGACGTAACAGAATACGAAGATGGATGCTTGCTTTTTCGACGAGATACACACCGGCGACATGTTTGTTCCAGAAATACGTTCGCGAAATGTAGTGTCGTGCCGCGATGTTATCAAGAATCCCCCGTTTTCCTCCCGCTCTCTCCTCCCTCCTTCCCCCCGTTTGCGTCATCGATAGAAATCAAATATTGAGATCGCCTCAGGGAGTTATTACTTCTCGAGTTTCGTCTCTGCGCTCATACTTTATCGCGGCGCTTATCTCGAGTTTCCCCGTCCCGAATTTCGGATCCGGAGATTTCTACGATCGCTGCAGTACGTAGGTCGGCAATTTTTCCGGATCTCCAATTGCGCTGCCAAGTACGCGAACGGTGAACTTTCCATGCACGTCGTTCATTCGCCGAACATATTGCTTTTAAACGTGATCGTACCGCCTAGGGGAAGGAAATGAGCTTTTACACAGCGCAGCTTAATGTGTTCTCGCTGGTTTGAAATAACTCAATAAATAAATATTCATTTTACGTAATATTTGAATATTTAAACATATATTATTTAGTATTAGGATGTAAACTTGTTTCGGTTATAGTAATCTAAACATGTCTTTAGAATTGGATCAAATTCAAGAATATAGCTCTTGATAAGATTTGTATCTTCTCGTGGAGTTTATCGATTTCTCGTATATAACTTCGTATACCTTGTCGCATTACCGATTTTTACGAGGCTATGACATTGTATATTAGTGTAATTTCGTCTTTAGTATCCTGACAGTATTTTAAAACAGCGCAATGGCGTTTCTACGAGTCGCGGAAGGCACCGCATGACACTACTGGTAGGAAATAAGAACAATGCCATTGTTCCAACTGTGAAGTTGGAATGGCCTCGTAAAGGGTTAACTCACCGTCATGCTCGTAACCCAATTTCGCGCACCTTTCCGCGCGGCGCAGACGGCGCGCGGCCGCGCAACTCCTCAGCCGCGAAGCTTCCAGGCCACGCGCAAAACTCTCAATCAATTTGTCTAATTCATGCCGCAATATTTCCACGTTTTTTTTCCCGCCAGATTTCCGCGTAGTGGAAAATCGTATACGGTGAAAATCATAACAAAAAAACCCATTGTTTGTAGAAAAAAAGAATGTATCTAGGGATGAATTCATTCTCCGTACGTAACCGCGGTAGAAAACTATTTAAATTTGCTTGACAGTACATTCGTAGTAGTTCTGTGTTTATTGTGTGCCAGCGGAACCGAGCGTTTTATCCTGGTCATGCAAACGGAACTTGTCTCTACGGCATACCAGCTCGTTTCGTGATGCCGGGCTTTATTTTTACCGTCCGTCGGTTGTTTCAGAAGCGTGGCCGCCTGAGAACAAATTAATCAGCGATATCGGCGAATGCCCCGTGCCGGAAACAATGGCGGGGTTGGTTGCCGGGAAGTTACAATGGACCGATGTGTTAAGCTGCGCCCGCTCGTGACCTCGGCAACCGACCACTTTGGCATATACTGACGCAAATGCGATGCTACCCTGTAGTGTATACAACGATAACACCGGTGTATCAGCTTTCTAGCATGCCGTTGTACGAAATGC